GCACATACAGTAGCTACCACAAGTTTAGCCAACTGAGTCCTAGGCGTTACAATTCAGTCTCAGTCAAGATATTTTGCGCATTTTTATGACACCCGCCTATTTATACATTATACTCTACCAAAAATAAAAACACTGTGATAAATAAAATTATGCCATTGGCTGACTAAAATTGTGCTACAGAATGCTACGCCTCAAATAGTGGATATATACACGATTGCCGTAGATTTATCAAACAGTTTTCACTTAAATACACTGGCTCAGTGTTCTGATTTTTTTTTTTGCCGATTTCAGTCTTAAAATATTCTACACTCATTTAACACTTTTCAAACATACAAAATTACTATTTTACAGCAGTATCTTACTGTAATATAGCCTAGGGTATACCATAATATTTATTCCTCCATGGTATTAATAGTCACTTTATTCCTCTGTGGTCAGACCATAGTGTTTCTCATGGTCAGACTTACTGCAAGGAAGGATAAGATTTGTTGGTTTTTCTATTTAAAAAAATAAAACCTCATTTGACATTTTACCTCAGCCTCTATTCTTATTTTGTTCTTAATTTATAAGTAATTTCAGACTCAGTGTTCTTACAAACTGTGTGTTTTTTTCTAAATGTGTAACATTAATAGCTTAATGGCTTTAATGCATTTAATTCATATTGTTCTTTATATTTGTATTATTATTATAATCCATGTTTTTAATAGCGTTATATCATAATTTAATGATAACAACAACTTAATAACGATAAAGAGCAAATGTAATAACCTTGTTTATTCTGTATGGATAATAATTTTAATGATAATAACAAAGAATAATACAAATTTAATAACTATACAGAGCAAATGTAGTTTCTGAATCCACAAATAATCTATAAATATACCTGATTTCAGTCTTTTCCATGGATGTGTGTGGTTATGGGCATTCAATATTATAGTTATACACATAATTTTACACAAACACAATAAAATAGAGGGTTTAAGAAAAGAGAAAATTTCACGCCTCTGAAGCTTTTTGAAACTACTACCGTAATATTTTGCGAGGCCTCGTTTTTTGCAATCTTACAGTACTGTATACTGTTGAATAGGGCCACTGGATTGCCAATCTAGCCTCTCAATCAGGGTACAGTATTTCTAGGTGAGTTGCTAGACATAGCCAAAATAAGTGTATGGAAATATTTTTTTAATGCTAATAATAGCCATATTAATGTGCTTTTCACTGACGTGATTGGATAGCTAGCAAGTTAAAAATATAATGAATTGTGAAATTTATAGGAACATTACAAACCACCATTAAATTATTAATTTGTTCATCAATCTTGTTTGATTTCTTTGTCCCACACCTTATAAATTGCAATAGATTGGCCTAGTTTTTTTAATTGTCCAGAGGCTCCAATAGTGCATATATTTTGTAATGTTAGTTTTTTTCATCAATTATATTCATCAGACCCTATTTTGTGCCTTCGTGTCAGATACTCAGCAAGCGCATTTCAAAACCTTAATAGCCATATTAGTGTTTTTTTCATAGACGTAAACCAATCAAATTTTTTGTTTCTTTTTTTTTTAATTTTGTTGATTGGATAGCTAGTGAGATAAAAATATAATGAATTGTGAAATTGATAGGAACATTAACAACGAACCATTAAATTATTAATTTGTTCATCAATCTTGTCCTACACCTTATCAAATGCAACAGAGTGGCCTAGTTTTTTTTAATTTTCCAGAGTCTCCAATAGTGCATATATTTTGTAATGTTAGTTTTTTTCATCAATTATATTCATCAGACCCTATTTTGTGCCTTTGTGTCAGATACTCAGCAAACGCATTTCAAAATCTTAATAGCCATATTAGTGTTTTTTTCATTGACGTGACCAATCAAATTTTTTGTTTCTTTTTTTAAAATTTTGTTGATTGGATAGCTAGTGAGATAAAAATATAATGAATTGTGAAATTGATAGGAACATTAACAACGAACCATTAAATTATTAATTTTTTATCAATCTTGTTCTACACCTTATCAAATGCAACAGAGTGGCCTAGTTTTTTTTAATTGTCCAGTCTCCAATAGTGCATATATTTTGTAATGTTAGTTTTTTTCATCAATTATATTCATCAGACCCTATTTTGTGCCTTTGTGTCAGATAATCAGCAAGCGCATTTCAACACCTTAATAGCCATATTAATGTTTTTTTTATTGACGTAACCAATCAACCTAATTTTTTTTTTTTCTAAATGTTGTTGATCGGATATCTAGTGAGATAAAAATATAATGAATTGTGGAATTGTGAAATTGAGAGGAACATTAACAACGAACCATTAAATTATTAATTTGTTCATCAATCTTGTTTGACTTCTTTGTCCTACACCTTATAATATGCAACAGAGTGGCCTAGTTTTCTTAATTGTCCAGAGTCTCCAATAGTGCATATACTTTGTAATGTTAGTTTTTTCATCAATTATATTTATCTGACCTTATTTGTTTTTTTTTTCATTTTTCCAATGGAAAAAACAGTACTACTTACTTCACATAGACATTAATAAAGAAAAGAGGATCATTATATAATAATAATTGACCTTCAATTATATTCATCAGACCTTATTTGTTTTTTTCATTTTTTATTTTTATTTTCTATATGAACTATTGCTTTTTAGCTTTTTTATCGTTATCGTTGAAGTATAAACAGGCCTTTAATAAAGAAAAGAGGATCATTATATTTAATATTAACTCTTGGATATTGTTGCTAAGGTCGCACATAACAATAGCGTAAATGTACGCAAACACGTGCGTTTGTGGGACGTGCGTTTGAAATACACGCGCACATTCTTGACCCTTTTCTGATTGATCAGTTGTTAAGTTTGATTGGCACTCCAGAAAGGTCCATTGGTGAATTAACACAATATCGATGATGATGATAATGACGATGATGATAATGATGACGATGATGATGACGATGATGATAATGATGATGATGATGAAGATAATGATGATGATGATGATGACGATGCTGATGATGATGATAATGATAATGATGATGCTGATGATGATAATGATGATGATAATGATGATGATGACGACGATGATGATGATGATAATGATGATGACGATGATGATGCTGATGATCATGATAATGATAATGATAATGATGATAATGATGATGATGATGATGATAATGATGATGATAATGATGATGATGACGACGATGATGACGATGATGATAATGATGATGATGACGATGACGATGATGATGATGCTGATGAAGATAATGATGATGATGATAATGATGATAATGATGATGATGATGATGCTGATGATGATGATGATGATGAAAGTGTTTGCTACCACACATTTTTGCATATTACATTCTGTCTCAGAGTACCATTCAAAAAATTAAATTTGTTCCAGCTAGTATTAAAAGACAATTAAAAATTGAATTGTTTTCGTTGAGTAATTTATATAAATAGTATAAAGAATTTCATGTTGCCAAGTTTTTCCAACGATCAAAATGTTTGCACAGTAAGCAATTTTACTTCGGAAAATACCTCATGAAAAGTTCTATCACAGACCCTAATGTCCCTTTCACACATTCACGATTTTTACTATTGTAGCGCAAGATTTTTAAATAAAAAAAAAAATTACAATGGCATCATATTAAATTTCATAGTTAACAATACCACACTGTACTGGATCTTGATGCCATTGTGAAGGAGCACAATTTTTTTGGAGTGTTAAGAAAAATTGTGCTCTACTCTAGCTGTGAAAAAAAATCCTGGTCTAACGCAGCAGCATTGTGTGAGTGTCGTAATGCTGTTGTGGTTTGTTGTGACAGCATCTTGGGTATTCATACTCATTTGTGTATGTATCCATTTCTGCATTCCAACAACTAATTAAAAAGTTCATTGGTCACATGGCAAAAGTCTTTGTAACCTCTCTAGGGTCTTCTTGATTTAACTGCACTAGAAGGTGTTTGTACTGACCAAAAATTGGATGGCATAGAGTAGGAGACATGGTTTCACCCATACTTTGTCTTTGACATCTACGTTGATTCCTACACTGAAAAATCAAAGGTGCTGCAGCCAGCAAATTTTTCTTTTTCTTTAGCAGCAGCTTGCATATATTGCAGGTTTTTTGAACATGGTGAAATATCAACTAAGCCGACAAAATCATTAAAATATTCGCTAATTGCGCCGTTTTTGTCTTGTGAATAATTAAATCTAAAAGACGTCTTGTTAAATCATATTGATGTCGTACTGATGTCATGCAAATTTGTAATGATGTAATAAAATTTTTGTAAATGTAAGTCATAGTAATGTTGTGACTAACATAAAAATGTTGTAACTCATAATAATTCGTAACAATGTCGTCGCACTGTCGCACTACTACCGTAACCCATCTTGACAGCGTCCAAATAGAGTCTTGACAAAACATAAAATTTGATTGATTTTGAACTTTTGAGTAAAAATTCCTTTTAAAAATTGTGCTCAACCTAGCAAACATTCTGATTGCAAAAAGTGCATAAGGGTAAATTGTTGAATGTTACCATTATACTTTAAAAACAATGTTAAAAAAAAAAATTATTGTTATTATTATTATTAAACATACATTAGTAAAATTCCTTGATAATCTGTCAATTTCAACACATTATTACTGTATTTATATCAGAACAGTATGGTACTTCAATCTAAATGACTGAGTTCTGTTCTCATGCTTTTCCATACATGCACATTGCTCTCATCTGTAATATAGCAGCCCAAATTATTTAAACTTCATGGGTGAGTCTGCATTATGAATTTGTTTAAAAAAATAAACATCCTTATATTTTCATCTTGATTAGCTGATCACAGCATAATCTAATAGTCAAGACCTTTACCTCGACAGTTGTAAAGGTCTGTTAACATCTTGACATGTTCATCTCTGTAATTGGGTTGACTGTAACATATGGCATTTCAAGCCATGTGATTGGCTCTACTGTGGTGAATATTATACATGCAACTACCACGTCAAAAAAGTTTGACTGCCATATTTGTTCAGTATAACAACATCTTCAACCAATCTCCAACAAATATCACTCAATTCTTGTTTGCTGCTCTCATTTCAAAATGTCGCTATGTTCTTCCACCAACCTCCTTATCAAATCTGAATCTGCGATTTTCTGAACGAATTCCGGCGGTCTTAGCACACCCCCCATGAAAGCTTTTGTATTTCTGTACAACATTTTAGAGTCTTGAGATGTCCGAGCCGAACAGTGATATTCATTAGCTCCGCAGCCTTCAAGTATTCGTCTTAAATTCCTGTCGTTGATTCCACCACCTGAAAAAAACCCAATAATAATAAGACACCATTGATAATAAGTGAAAAAAACTTTGAAAATCTTGGGTCAATTTTTTTTTTTTTGGCAATATTTCTTTTATTAAGAAGCTAAGTTCCAAATACCTCAATGAATTGTTTCAAATGTGTCCCCTTTCAAGCCTTACTTTTAAAATGTTATACCCTAACACTAAACATAGATTTTAGCCAAGTGGTTAATACCATTTCACTAACAAAAATGTATTGGTAGGCAATGTGTGGCAATGAACCGTAGCACCGTGGTACAGCCCCCGGCAGGAAGGCCTACTCTGGCTCATCAACAATTTTGATCCGGCCTGCATTATTAGTGGAGAGATGCAAATTTTGCAGTAGTACCAATTTTTATTAGAGGACGTGAAAGGCTTAGTGTATTAGGAATTGATGTGGTGCTCATGGATATAGTTTGAGTACAAAGTTGTGTTCAGATTGGCCGTGGCCACCAGTTAAATACCTGGCCCCTAGAATTTGATTAGGACTCTTGGACTAGTATCTTACGAAACACAATAGCAATACACCTTACCTGGCATAACAATGATCCTCCCCCTAGCTTGCTCAATGAGTTTCCTAATAACTGGTAGACCTTCTAATACTGACGAGTCAAGACCACTGGTGAGAACGCGTTCAAAACCAAGGTCAATTAGAACTTCTAATGACTTGTAAGGGTCAGCAACCATATCAAACGCTAAATGAGGAAGAAGAAAATTGGTTAGTTTTCTATGTGTAACTTGGCATACTATAAGTGCTCATAATAATAATAATAATAATAATAATAATAAATATTTATTTCACAATTTTATGTTATAAAGAAAATTTATGTAACTAATAAAAAGAATTTGTAGTGAGCCCATTTTGCAAGGGATAAATGCAATGTTATTACTACTCTTGGTCATAAAATCCATAAATTGGCATACAGGCACATAAACAAGCGGCATAGTTACAGAAGGGCATGGAGTGTGGGGGGGGGGGAGATGCCCCAGATTCGCCACCCACTCAACAAAAAACCTGGAAATTTGCTGAGTGCAGAAACTATGCTTAAGTTGTTAAAAATCCCCTTGTATTGCCTTATTTTGCCAACCAGCACCCCACACTTAATCCCCAAGCCCCACCACTTAACATAGCTCCCCCATTGGCTAGCTTCCCCATGTCAATGAAAGAATTTTAGATTTACCTCTACTGAAGGTGACTTCTAATGGTCGACTTAGGGCTGTAAAAAACAATTAAAATTACAATATTATATTTTGATGCAATACTGTACATTTTGTCAGATAATCATAAACGTACAAACTTATCACTGCTGCATTTTGTTCATTTACAATTGATACAATCTATAGAATACTTGCTATTTACTTACAAATAAACTCTTTACACTTTTCAACATCAATCTCTCCTTTTCTATAGAATATGAGAAAAGAGCATAAATTTGCAAATTAATGTCATTGCATTTATTTAGTTAAACTTGGATATGTTATGCAGGCTCTTTGCACTGGCTGTTTCTGGTCATCAAACTGACCAAGTACAATGTTATAGCTTGCCAGCTTTATGGTCTGACCAAAAGAAAATCCATTTGACCTGGGTAAATCATAATGTACAAACAGATTAGCTTTCTATCTGAAACAGATAAATACACTATCTTACCTATTGTACAGCGGTTGACTGAGGGTGTGCTTCTACTGAATATCGAGGAAGAAACGGTTCTCTTATCATTGGTTGATTATCGGATTAGCAAGATAAGAATGGCGTTGCAACTGATTTTTGATTCCGCATGAAACGGTTCCCAGACTGATACGCTACTATACATGACATAACAATTACCCATATTGCAATTTAAAATGCAATTTTAAAAACTGTAACAAAACATCATTATTTTTGCGCGACTAACAAGATACAAACAAACAATGATGATTCCTCCTGTCCGAATATACTAGCTAATGTCGGCATTCAAATAAAACAATGGTTAAACTTTTGGTCTTACAGTACTTTACAAAAAAGAGAATAATTTGTTTTGTTGTGAACAGAAGTTTAACACTTGCTTAAATACTGATTCCTTCTAATAACAAATACTCATATACTACAGTATATCAGTGATATTACTGGCATGGTGGAACATATTGAAGAATTTACAAATATGTTCAAAGGTAAAATCATGTGGGAGGCCTAAATTATTGATATATGACAAGTATTTTAAGTCTGATAGAAATCAACGTCCTTTTCAACAATTCTACTATAAATAGATATACGCCTAGCCTACTGGCTAAGTTGACCTCAGGTCAAATTAGGCCGCTATTTATGTTGCAGCTAAAAACTACCCCACGAAGAACTGTCCTTTGGAACAGCAAAAAGAATGGTTCTTATTGTGGGTCCCGTTTCTACTACCATGAAGAACCGTTCTCAAAAAGAATGGTTCTTCTTTCTCGTCAGTAGAAACAGTCCATGAGAGAGGTATTGTTCGTGCTTCTTGTGCCGAAGACCCCATTCAAACCTGGCCATCGTCTGGTTTTAATTGGAGTCTGATCGCTCAGCTCCTCATATTGAGAGTTACACGGGTCAAGGACAATGTTTGTATCAGTATGGGCGTGTTTCTGCTTAATAACGCCAAAAACATGTGTTTCTTTATAAACGGTTATAAATTCCTTCTGAACGCGTTTCTAGTGAAAAGTGCAACTAATAAAAACACGGTAATGTGAGCATTGGCAGGTGGGCAGAGCTTAAATGATGGTCACAAACGGAAGTTGAAGCTGACCTTACTTGTTGCGAGCTACAGCGCATGCTGCGAAGGAAGTAACCAACACAACACCAAAGTATGAAAAAAGTATGGTATGATCTTCAAGCATGTCATCTTATAGTTTTAATTATTTTCTTCGCACCGAATTTCCTGCGGACGAGCAATCAAACCAACGAAGAGGTCAATTTGGGTCCCCGACGGGTCATGACTAACACGGTACTGCATTGCAGCTGAAAAGTGTACCACAAAACACACGTTTTCTGAACGCGAACCCTATAACGAATGCGTGTAAAGACACGCATTTTTAGAACGCATTCAACCGTGTTTTTGTTTTGTGGCCCGTTAAAAATCATGTGTTTCTTAATAACCGTTTAAAAACATGTGTTTTTTGCTCAGCAGAAACAGGCCCAATGCGTCCGTTATTTGTTATAGTTAAGTCGGGAGGCGCTGTACTGCTGCTGCCTGGGGTTCCACAGCACAAAAGTTCCGATTTCAAAATTTGAATGATGAAGACCAATAAAGAATTATTATTATTACTATTAAGTAAAAAATAATTATAATGTGCAGGTATAATTTTTTTTATTTATAAGGCAGACTGTGAAATATGTACTGTACCTGTTAAGAAACCCAATCACAATTCCATTTGCCCCACAATCTTTTGCCAACAACAAGTCTTGCCTCATCACCTCAAGCTCAAAACTAGAGTAACAGAAATCGCCACCTCTTGGTCTAATCAGCACAAATATTGGTAATCTACACTCTGTTCTCACCATTTTTAGCAAACCTGCAGTCAAGAAAAAGATCATTAAAAAAAATCACACAAAATCACACAAAATAAATTTCAGGATCCTGATAGTCATAATATTGTCAAGGTGAACAATAATAACAACGTCAACCTCTATCTTCATTCAATTCATTATCTGTGGTGATAAAGGAATTAAAATTATGAAGAGCGGAGGTGGGTGCATGATTGATTTTGTATCCAATGACCAGTAAAATAGCGCCTTAAGCAGTTTTCTGGATATGTGTATGTGAGCATAGGATATAAAACTATAAAAAATAAGATGCATTAATACCTTGAGTGGGGGTAATTCCTCCTTCCATTAATCCACTACAAAGTTCTATTCTATTTGCACCTGAAAAAAATGATGATTCATCAATTCAATTCAATAATTCAAAATGCTTTAATACGCCTAGGCCCTACAGGCCCGATAAGGCAGGCGACGGGTGTGTACGCACCTCCCAAATTACTGTACCAAAGGTCCACATTTTCCACGGTAGAAAATTCAAAACTCACTCTCGCACATGCCAGAAATCCATCCACCAAACCTCCTTGACCAATCAGAGCAGTTTCCAACTAGGACCGCCTCTAATTTGTCATACTAGCAACAACTTTTAACTGTATTTAGGGCCTAAATAAGTTTTTTGAGGAATTGGAGTGTTTTCCCTGCCACTTGCATGCCAATCAATGATTCACTGCATACAAACTCATCTTCCTTTTAAGTTTTCACTAAAATCTTTATTCTCGCTTGGAAATTGTCTTGACACAGCAGGCGCAGACTTGGACTTTCGCACTGTTCGCCATGGCAAATATCAGAGTAAGAAATATATAGTACACAAAGGAACGTCAAAAACAATACACAAAGATTATTGGTTGTCTAGACAAGAATATCGGATTATTGTGCGATTGTCAATGAAGATCTGGATCCTCTAACCAACATCCATCCACAGCAGAAAGCAGCAGCGATGAAGGAATGTGATGATATTTTCCTGAATGTATCTGTGCTTCTAGGCTGTGCTGCACTATTCCCAAAATTATTTAAAAAACAGAGAAGAAATTTATATTCAAATTTAAGTCTGAGAGTGCCATCTCCGGTCATCTAGAGGTACCATAATTATAAATTTTCTTCCCTTAGCCCCAACCATGGTGGGGCTGAAGCAGTATCTTCTCCATTTGTGAAATCATGGATCCACCAGTGAAAACTGTTTAATAATAATATGCATCTTCAAAAATCAATTAGATATGAGCTCAAACAAAAATGCCTGAGCTCCGCCCCTCGAACCTAGCAGGGTTTCCCTGTCTACCTCACCCCGGAGCCATTTTGGTCCACTATCTACAAAATTGCACCCACCAAAAAAAAATCCTGCATACGGTCCTGCCCTATCTGTTGAAGAGAAAATTCATTAAGAATTTCATGTTGAATGCAGGGTGAAAACTGACGTTAGCAAGTAGGCTGTAGTCTGTCAGGAAAAATTTGGTCCGAGGCCAGTCGGTCTGTCGGACTGATTTTGGCTTTAAACTTACCTGCCAAATGTAGTCTACATAAGCCAAAGTCGGTTTGGCATCTACTTAATAGTTATAACCTGTATTTTTTTTTAGCATTGTTCATATTTGTTTTTAATCAAATGATAGATAAATATCTCATCTCTTATTATATCATATAATATTTTTTCATTCGTTGTGTGTGCAATTGAGTATGCAGCTACAAAAACTAGTATGTTATTTTCGCTCTTCGCGCCCAGTCAACTCTTTGGTGTAACAGTCAGAAAAGAAATTAAACAATATGATCGTAAATCGTGTTGGTCCGCTTTAGTTTATTTTTTACCTTGTTTTTTTTGGTTTTCTGCTTGCTTAATGCCACAACGAAATACATGAGCAATCATTTCAAAGATATTATTAACAGATCCCTATATTTTCATGTAATAGAACAACTATTGTATGACCTAATACCCACACAATAATATGGAATATTTAAAACTAATACAGTTGAACTTGCCTAAAGTCGAATCCAAAATGCCATTAAAATATTGTTCGACTTAGATAAAATTTGACTTACAGGTTGTTAATTAATTGAAAAACACAACAATTTGGCATGTAAAGATCGACTTAGAAATCATTTGACTTTGGCACAGTCGACTTAGGCAAGTTTAACTGTAAATCAGTCCTGATGACAAATATTGCGAATCAGCACTACTTAAATAGGCTTTTCTTTTTCCATCTTGATTTCAGATGTCAAAAACATTTTTCAATTTTAATTCAAGTTTTGCTGGAAGAAGTTTTTGGATACGATGCCCCGTTATGGAGTTATGATTTTTTAAATAACATGGTGTCAGAAAATCAGCCCAAAAGCTTATCTTATTTCTGTTGGTTACGCACCTCTGATTCGCAATGTTTGTCATTACTTCAAGATGTCTACTGATTCGTGGAAAAGGTTTGTGTTTGAAAACACGTCCAAAAAAGCTTAATACGAATCATTCTGTCACTGCAAAATATTTTTCAAGTGTGGGAAAGCATAAATTATTCCCTCCCGCTCCACGGGAGAAACAATCATACCCTACGGGCGTTACAAGTGGCCATGTCGACGGACCAATTTTATCAAAGGGGGACCTATTTTAGCAGCCAAAAGTAGTCCAGCAGACCGACGTTAGCGGCCAAAATCTGTCCGCCGGACCTTTTATGGCGCAGACCAATTTTAGCGTGAAGACAGGCCCATTAATCTACAACTTTAATTTTATCATATTATATTGCTTGATTCCCCCACCCGGACGCCTATTAACTACAGAATACAGCTGGTTACATAACATAGTATAGGCCTAGGCCTTTACTTGGTCGTTTGCTCTCTATTGGGTACGGCCCTCACGCACAATACTGTACACACAGTACAATCTTGTAAAACCCAGCCTAGGCCCAGTCAGTAGTACTACAGTCCACCCTACAGTCTACTACATACAGTACTACTAGAGAGGGCCAGGCCTAGGCCTAGGTAGCTCGTCTAGCCTAGCCCTAGGATAAACGTTGATTATTCTAAATTTAACAAGCAGCAAAAGCTGAACTGTTAATTTTCTTCTTCTTACCACCCCTTTCAGCAATTATTGCTGACTCGACGGAGTCAACACAAACTTCCATTACGGACTAATACTTGACGCAGTGTTTATTAAATTGTTATGTTGTTCTTGTGCTGGCGGACGGAAATGAGCTCATGTCGGCCAGTACGGATCGAGTTTGAGCGTATGTGAGTCGCCAGTCACACAGTAGTCGAGCGAAAGAATGCTACTTCTTGCACATGTTGTAATGGTGTTGGTTTGACACAAGACGGTTTGCCACACAAGCTCACTTTATCGAGTAAGAAAAGATTGATTTCCCATGTTTAACATTCCTATGTTGTAAACCAACCTAACATAAGGTAATGGAACCTAACTAGCTATGGCTAACTTAGACTCTAGAGCCACCCTTGACTAGCCTAGGCTAGGCTAGTCTACACCTAGGTCTAGGCTAGGTCAGCTAGAATTGCAATTGCACCAGGCTGTTTTTCCAAGTGACCTAGGCCTAGGAAGGTAATGCGGCGCCTACTTGTAATGCTAATACTCGCAGTTGCTAAACCAAGACATGACTAATTCAAGTATTTTCTAGCATGTTACAGAGAGTATTTATTACATACCATATATATAGACAGGGGAGGATCCAGTAGTAGGGGATGGGGGGGGGGATGCATGGAGAACTCTATCTTGTATTTCTAGTATCTTTGGCTAGGTCAGCTAGAATTGCAATTGCACCAGGCTGTTTTTCCAAGTGACCTAGGCCTAGGAAGGTAATGCGGCGCCTACTTGTAATGCTAATACTCGCAGTTGCTAAACCAAGACATGACTAATTCAAGTATTTTCTAGCATGTTACAGAGAGTATTTATTACATACCATATATATAGACAGGGGAGGATCCAGTAGTAGGGGATGGGGGGGGGGATGCATGTTCCCCTTCCCCCCCAGTTTTGCCACTAAATTTTAAAAACTTCAATGCATATGTTGTTATGTGCTACTCACTTATGTATTCTGAAACTGTTCTGTCCCCCCCCCTCCAGAGTTTGAAAAATCCACCCCTGCTATTACACTTAATATTTAAGAATGCTATTTCTTGAGGCAGCCATTTTTTGAGGAATTTTTGACTGCATATTCATCAAAGATCTTTATAAACACAAGATAGCATTTTCCGCAATTTAGTAATCACTTTTGGGAGACGGCGTCCTAGTTTGTTGCCATGGGATCTAAGATGGCTCTGTACACGCAGTTGATACCTTGGTTTATACTACAGTGGTATGGTAGATACAGAATTTGGACACATAACTGAACAGAAATCAAACTACTACTTTTTTTTATCTTTCTCCACAAAACCTCATTTCATTAATTCATATTTGCTTCTTCTTGTTTGCTCGGTAAGGTGTTCGTGTCACGCCAAAGTTTGTGACAAACTCTGTTAATAATTGTTCCTTAATTGTTTTTAAAGAAAGGGCACATTATAAATCAACACTTCTAATTGTTACGCGTAAAGGTAAAGTTGCACAGTATACGCTATGGTCAAAGCGGTCACTTTTGCAAGAGGGTGTCGTACACTGCATTACAGAGTTTGCATGCGGAGAAGGCTATCTTGTGTTTATAAATGTTTGATATTCATATTGATTAACTGAGGGTGCACCGCACTCCAACCCAAACTTAATGATAGGCAAATTCGAGTTAAGTTTATACATGGAGGTATACAAATTCGAGTTAAGTTTATACATGGAGGTATATAAGTGTATATACCAAAGCATATATATACAGTAATATTATAAACTTTGATGGAATGTTACAATATCTATATATCTTGTCTGTCTTCGGTAAGTGGAAATTAATATACGTATATTGTTTTCCTTTCTGTACAGTTTGCCCTTCAATCTGAGACTACCTTTGGGACCTGAAAATTTGGGGTGGTCTCGGTGTTGGTCTCCGATTAAAGGGCTAGCTTTGTGTTAAAAGGTTGAAGATTGTTAATTGGGTCTTTGGAAAAGTGGCCTCGAAGTAGAGGGGTCTCAAGATTGGAGGGGTCTTGATTTGGAGGGTGCACTGTATATGACGGGTATGGAATTCCAAAATAAATATGTGAAATGAAGTAAGTGATAAAACTGGGTTTTTTTTGGTTTTATTTTACAGATATGCTTAGGAATCCCTTGATGAGACTTCTTGTTCAAAGAGGCAGTGCACTGAATAATCCATGCATTTCTAAGTCAGTCTGTCACAAGCACAATGGTTTAAACTTTCTGTTTAAACCATTGACATCGCCAGTCAATGTCATTGGTTGCCATGGTATTTCAGAATCTCTAAAGAGGACGATTACTACAAGTTTTGTAGCAGTATGCAGACCTGGAGGAGGGGTATTTAATCAGAATTTGTAAGTAAACGCATTCCCCTAAGCATGGTCGGCATTGTACACATTCAGGGTATTATTGTACAGTCGTCCTAAGATTGAAAGATCTAAATTATCTTAAATGTGTAATAGGTTTTCCTGAATGGGGGTTTACCTGAACATCTTAAAAAGTACCCCAGGGTACAGGCCTGATAACATTGTCATTATTATACAGTAATTTCATTTTAATGTTAATTTCATTATGTTAAATTCAGGAGCTACTCACAATGAATAATGCTGATGATATGCGAAATGCCCATCTGCTGAAACATAATCTTTTCATCAATATTATTATACTAAACAAATGATGTAGCATTGTTTTTTTCAATTTTTCTGCAGGTCTCAATTATTTCAGTTGGCAACTACTACACCTATACAGCCCTCAAGAACAGTGGTTCGTTGTAGTGCAAATAAGGGAAAGAAAAAGACTGTGAAAGCAGTTATTTCAAGATTCTACAGACTTTCAAAGTAAGTCCAGGTTTAAGGTTTATTTGTCTTACAGTTAAACCTCTCATAAACAACCACCCTCAGTTCTGAGAGGTCACTTATGATTATGCACAACCTAAGGTATAGAATAATTTAATATTTGGTAAAATAGGCTTTTGTAATCACCTTCATTTAAAGCTGTGTTTGTTGAAAAAATAGTTCTTGACATCTGGGATGGTTGCTTACCAGAGGTAAAATACCACCGATTAACCCAATTTATAAACCCAAAAGCGGTCGTCACATTTTGGGGCCTATAAACACAGCAGTAGGAAACTCATCGGCTGACGACCATCGGCGCAGTGTGTGCCCGGCTTAATGGTCAGTTGTTAATTTATGCCAATTTAATGGAATCATTAATTATGTTTAGTACATAAGTTTTACTGGTACTTATATATTATATAAAACTGTTCTTGTTATTTTAGTGGCATGTGGATCAGAAGATATGCTGGCTATAAAAAGAAGCTTTTCAAGAAATCATTAAACAGAAAAAAGCGTATCAAGAACCACATCTTTTGCAATAGAACACAGTCAAAAATGCTGGATAGTATGGTGACCAGATACTGGAGAGAACGCAAATATTATGTAGACCATCCTTATGATAAATATCAAGACAGAAACTTCAACGGTTTTACAAGTTGGCCAGGAGAGAAAATTGTACGTGAAAATTATGAAAGGATTACAAAACATGGCTACAAAATGAAGGATGTATAAATTAAATGTGAACAATATTATCAGGAAGTTAGAATCTTGGAATTAGGATCTGATACTTGGTTTTTCATTTCAAGTTGTGGCTCCAAATATTCATCAGTTTAATGTGGTCATCTTTCAGTACCAGGATCCAATAGTGGATTTAGGGGTTAAGAAATGGGGCTCGTCCCAGGCCACAGCCAAAAAATCTCTAACCAAATGTAAAATCATTTAGAAAGGAGATTAACTCCAGAGCTTCCAGGGAGGATAACCCACTAGAGATCCCCACCTAGGTAAGGAAATTCCCCCAGTCCTCCCTCTTAGACCACAGGTCCTTGATTAGAACTTGGCTCGTTTCCCCTTCCCCCAGGAAAATACACCGTATATCCACCACTATTGAATATTCAAACTAAGGATTTCATATTAAATAAATCTTGTATTACTCCAGTAGTCATGAGTTTTAATATCAGTATGTATCATCACCACACTCAACATCATCAATGCTCATAATAACTGAAAAAATTGGAGTGTCTAGAAAATTTAAACCTCTGATTTGAGATTTCTAGTTCTAGAAAACTCGGATATCAGATCTTGAAATCGACATACCATATTATGACATTAGGTATTTTTAGAGGGAAATTATTAAACAGTGAGCAGCCTGGGTTCCAGGCCATAATTTGGGTCATTCACAATTTATTGCGCGCCATACCTAATTTATTTGGCGTCCCATACTGGATTCCTTTTTATTTCGGATTTTTCTTTTTTATTCTGTCTCAAAATTAACTTTGTTGGTGGCGCTGTCCAGAATGAGAGAAACACAATAATAATAGGGACTTCTGGCAAGCCTAAACAGTGAGTTGTAAGTACAAAGGGTGTTAAATAATACCTAAATTGTTGAAGATTACAGGGACTTTTCCATTGCGCCCGCCCACATGTTTATATAATTTCTTAACCAAATATAATATTCTTTCTGATCGACAATATGGATTTAGAAAATCTACCACTAGATCTTGCTCTTATCAATATTTATAACCTATATACCAAGGCTCTTTACATTAGTGATTTACTGTTGGCATTTTTCTTGATTTAAGCAAGGCTTTTGATTCAATAGATCATGACATTCTTTTTAATAAACTTGAACGTTATGGTATTAGAGGCCATGCTTTAAATTGAATTTAGAAACAACCTTGGCAATAGGCATTAATATGTTTCAATTAATCATTTTCATTGTACATCACGTAATATCACATGCGGGGTCCCCAAGGTTCTATTCTTGGTCCCTTATTATTTATAATTTTTGTCAAAGATCTTCTTATTTCCTCATCACTTTCAAATTTGTTTCTTTTTGCAGATGACACTAATATCTTTTATTCACATTAAAACAAAACTGAACTTTTAAAAATTATTAATATTGAATTAAAAAAAATATCTACCTGATTTAAGGTAAATAAATTGTCTCTCAACGCTTCCAAAACAAATTTTATTATTTTTAATCATAAAATAAAAAGTAGTGACTCGCACTACACAATTAAAATTGATAATAATTTAATCAAACAGGTTAATTAAACTTCTTGGTGTTAATTTAGGCTATAGATTATCTCGGCAAACTCACTGTAATCATATTTCAAATATCATTTCTAAAAATATTGGAGTCATGGGTAAATTAAAATATTACCTTCCACAACATATTTTGTTATTATTATATAATACATTAGTTTAGCCATACTGTATATTAATTATTGCAATATTTCATGGGCTACCACAACTAATAAATTCCCTTATCAATGTACCTAGACAAGTCTTGAAGCATCCAATATTAATAACATATTTCATTTACAAGAACGTGCCCTTAGGATTTGAGCATGCAGGGACGTCTCGATTATCGCATACTAAACTTTCATTTCATAAATTTAATATTTCGAAAAAGCAGTAGAATTTTGATGGCCTTATTTATTATTTCTCTTTTGTAAGCCTGAATAATGCGTACCTTGTTACGTTCCAACAAACTCTTACTAAAAACCAGATGAAATACTTTGAGAAGAGAAAACAAGCGTCACGCTATTATAACCGATAACTAACTCTATTTATACCAGATATAATACTAGTAACGCTGCTGTATCAAATATAATAGGTTACTCTGCTCTATTAGTACCGAGAGATAACCGTACCCATTGTATCTGATAAAAAATGAAAGCTATATGTTATCAAATATAATAAAAAAAATATGCCTTGAATGTTTGAATACCGAGTATCAATAACAAACTTAATACACTTTCAGTACACCATGTGTAAAAATAAGTTTTTAAGGTAAAACCACTGGTCTCTAGATAACCTACTTCCATAAGCGCCGGTGACATGACAAGCCAGTTTTGTTTGCTTTAATAGGCCATTTAAAAATTATTATTATTATTATTATTATTATTATTATTATTATTATTATTATTATTATTATTATTATTATTATTATTATTATTATTATTATTATTATTATTATTATAACAGATAGCGTAACGTAGCCATTACAGTATATTATATCTGATTAAGAAAAGCTAAAATAGTCGCGCTAGTTGAGTTTTTTTTTTAACACATGCTTTCATGTACATATTACATTCACATGGAAGAGGTGTATTGATGTACACGAAAACTGGTGTTAATTAAACAAAAAATCTCAAGCAATGTAGTCTCAAATGGGTGCTTTTGCTGTACTTACTATTTACTAAAAATTGTTCACTCAAAAAATATTTCAGAACTAGGATACGCTTTTTCAAATGTTTTGTGTGAACAAAAATACTGTACAAATATAAAATTAAAACTGAAAATATTTATTTCTCGAGTTTGATAAAGGCCCATCAGTTTGGGAAAAAGGTCATGGAATGATAGTATTGTACAATGGCGGATCCAGGAATTTGAAATAGACGGGGCCCAGCTAGAAAGGCACTTTTACAGATGGTAGGTTCAGAAATACCTTAATCCGACCAAGGTTGGGCTGACGGTACGAAATTGTATCTATGGCACTTATAAATTGCCGGAAATGGCACCCTTATACTTAAATTTGAATGTAATTTTATTTTTCCCTCTTCCGTTCAGTTTCTTTTATTCAAATCAAAATCACAGCCAAGGCTGAATTATATTATATTTACAAAAAAAGTAGGCTAATATTAAAACATCAATCAAACACAAGCACAAGACATGAAAATTTTCCTAAAAAAGCTGCTCGAGCGACTGGACATAATCTTTGTACTCATTGCCTAACATAATTCCTGCAAGCCCTTTTTTGAATTGATCCAATCGTAGGCCAATTACTTTATTGTAAAGTAAGACCTGAATGCCATACAGATACGGAATACTTAAATCTCGGTCTTATGTACTTAAACAAGGCAGTGGCGTATCTAGGGGTACGCACCCCCCCCCCAGCTTTAAGACCAGCGTATCTAGGGGGTGCTGGGGGAGTGCACCCCCAAAAAATTACTTTCACCCCCCCCCAGTCACCTCCAAAAATCAGGGTGAAGTAGTTACCAATTCCCCTTCACGCCCCTCCATCAGAACCCCCATTTCAAGACTCCTAGATACGCCACTGCAACAAGGTCATACTATGGTAGATTGAACTGTCGTCTACTTGCTTTAGAAATTATTTCTTTGACATTACGATCCCATTTAAAGTTATCTTGTGTCCCAGCCTTAACAGCTTTGTTTCTTTAACAATTTGGGTATTACCAAGTAACAGGGCTTCAGGCTGGCATTGGTTTCTTTGGAAGTTGAAAACCATACCGTAGTTTTACATTTGGAGGGATTAAGTTTAAGGTTGTTTGCATGAGACCACTAATGTTAATGCAAAAACAGCACATTGAATTGTTGATACACCAGACTTTTTCTCTACCTTCATCATCTACATACTTCCATGTATTACATGATGAATCAAGCATCGCGTCAAAATAACGTTATTTTGATTGCCAATAATTCTTAATAATGCGCGGTCTATGTGGAGAGAGTTTTCATAAAACCCTACCAGAGACCTTATATTCCGAGACCCTGACCGAGGCTCTAGTCAGTCCTAGGTTCGGACCCCCTCCTGTCGAACATGTCTTGTGGGAAAATATACGGTATGGAGCCGCCACTGGATGGTGTTCTTGGTTTGAAGACTTCAGATTCATTGTCAGAGTAGGCCAATTTCCTCTAAAAATTGCACATTTTAGGGATTTTGGATCAATTCCGACAAAATTAGAATTAAAAACACCGGGGGAAAAGGGGAAAATATCCACCTTTGGAAAATCTTTTCCCACCCCTTGATAAATGCCCTTTTCATCCTCTGAAAGTGCCTAAAATCCTCAAATTTCGCGCGCGCTTCGCGCGCATTTCTTGTCAGGGTAGGCCAATTTCCTCTAAAAATCGAACATTTTAGGGATTTGGGATCAATTTCGACGAAATTAGAATTAAAAACACAAAAACTTTTTGCGCCCTTCGCGCGCATTTACTAGGGTTTTTATGGTTATCCTTTTAAGTTATTTAAACACATAATAGTCCCAAACCAAAAGAAAGAAACATTTAAGATAGATCGTTTTAACCTAAAAGAAGGGCCTCAATGTGTATTGATGGTGAAAGAATATGTTTGTAATAAATAAAACCATGATGAAAATGCTTATATTTAGTTTCAAACA